CACTCAGAGGTCCTGCTTCAAAAGCCACCATGGGATGGTGGACTTGTCTGTCTGTCCAGCTGCACTGGAAGCTCTGTGCCTATTGTGCATTGCAGGATCCTGAGCTCCTGCTTCATGTCTTAAGTAGACGAAGCACTCAGTAAATATTCGTGTGCTGCGTCTTCACTAAAGCCTCAGTCTGTTAACACAGGAGCATGTGCCTACCGTCCTATACCACCTGCCTTTAATAGATACTTAATCCTTACTCACAACTGTGACGGGGCCAACAACAAGACGTTAGTCTTATCTTAAATACATAAAGATTACATGCAATGTGTACTGCCTGGTGAAAATGGTGAAATTTTTAATCAAAGGGTGAATGATGACCCAATTAAATACTTGGCGAATCCAGCAAACTCAGTTCACCCCAAATGTCATATGCCTGGGGGACGCCCAGTGGAGGCCAAGATCTAATGCTCGGAGGTGCCCTTGAGACTTTTTACAACCTTTTCGTATGCATGCGTGGTCCCAGCCACGTACCTCTCAGGAGGCCTGGGCTGAGGGTCTAGGATGGAATCTCTGTTCAGTCTCTCCCAATTGCCTAAAAAATGGGATTAATTATAAACCAGCCCATGCTTCTGCTGTGAGGAGTCGATGAAACCTCCTGTAGAGCATTTAGGGGAGGACACACTAAGAGACGGTCATGTTTGCTGTGGCATCTCCTCCCGGCAGAGCCCCGAGACTCACAACCCAGCCGTCCGCGAGCTCCGCCGTCGCTGTGCTCGGAACTAGAAAAGCAGCAACTGCGCCTTCTGGAAGAGCGATTTGCCCGTTGGACATTTTGTTGGAGTTGCATGCTTCCAGATAACCGGAGAAGCCGAGCATTTCACAAAGGGTCATGGTTAAACATTAAAAGTCTAACCCTCTTGGTAAAGGAGTGAGGTGGGCGGTGGGAGGAGCGTTCATTTTCAAAGCAGTGTCTTTAAAACTCAGAGGCATAAAATGCAATGCACTTCTATCTACATTTTTCTTTCTGACGAGACAATGAAACATTTTGCAAAGAAAGCTTTCGTGGTCTGAAGCCCTTCACAAACACGAATTCGTTGTTGCAGGAGCTGGGATGTTGTCGGAAGCTCTGCTGGCGTAATTCATCTTCCGTGTCTGGGTGGTGTGAGAACACACAGTGGGAAGAGCATGCGGAACAGGAACAGAATCTGGGCATGCTTCGGGGCCTCCCACTCGGGGCATGTAATGTGTCAGGCTTCCCACGTATCTCAGTTCCTCCCTGAGCACAGCCTTAGTAAGCCAGTGACCCTGGGCATCATGAGTAATCGGGCCCTCTTTCTATTTTAGGAGCACAAAGTCCCTTGGCCACATGTGCCGGCTTCTCGGGCGTGTCCTGTCACTAAGACCCACCCTCTTCAGCTCAGTAGCACCCAGCCCGGCTGAAGGTTAGCACCCAGCCCCGCAGAGGGTTAGCACCCTTTGCTTGAGCCCGGCGCTCCTTTTGGTTCTGAGGGAATGAGAGCCACCGTGAGACTCACACATGCGGCGAAATGTGCCGCGCACACCCAGGAGGCCACACTTTCTGTGGGGACCACGCTCCTTGCCACTGTCGTCCCCGTGCACCCCCCACCCCCACCCCGCAGGCCTGGGCCGCCAGCCCGATGCAAACAATGCTTGTGGAACTGAGTCAAATGTAGGCAAAAACGAGTAAGTGTCCGAGGCCTGCTTTGACTTCTGCTTTGCCACTTGCCAGCTTCGGATGCTTGGTCAAGTTTATTAACTTCCCTGGGTCTAAGGGGTTTGTTGCTTGCCCGTTTACAAAGCAAACGGATTATGTGGCCTGCAGCAGCTAAGGGTGGTGGCATGCGCTCACCTTGAGATCTGATTATAGTGTTTACGTACTGAAGGCTCTGTGACGGAGGAGGGTGGCTGCTGGGTCTCAAGGGCCAGGGACCCTTTGCTCACCTTGACAGGGTCCCTTCCCATAACCTGAGAGCTTTTGTCAACCCATCTCACGGGTGATTACAATGAAGCTCTCGGAGATTAAGTAGCTTCTCCACCCCGGGCAGCCTGACTCCAGAATTCCCTCTCTATCCTACACTAATTGTCATTTCTATTATCTACGTTTTATTTTTTAGTCATGAGAAAGCAAACAGAGGCTCAGAAGGGGCCGTGACTGGGCCAGCTCTGAAATCCCAGAGCAGTTTCCCAATGGAGCCTCTAGCTGCCATCTCCGCTTCCTGGGTGGTGGGGTGTTTGGGGTGAGGACAGGGAACAGGGCTGCTCTGGAGGGAATCTGCCTTCCACACCGTGGGCTGAAGGACTGATGTGTCCACCGCCCCCTAGCAGGGGTGGGGGGGTGCGGGGTGCCAGAGTCAGGAGAGCACAGTGTGGCTCAGGGACCAAGGACCAGTCTCTCCGAGCTGCAACTTCAGAATCAGAAAGGCTCCTGCCTCTGAACCATCTGTTCCACACACGCCGTGCCCACATCCTTATTCAGGCTGCAGAAAGACATCGGATCAAGCAACTAAGAACCCGGCTCCCCGTCTGCACTCAGTGGTGGGTTTCAGTGAAGGAGCGAGAGGGTCACTGGGCAGGCGAGGTACAGGCAGGAGAGCCCGCTCCAGAGCTTGCTTGGCGCCTGCCTGCCCTCTGCAGCATCTGCACGCTCCTGGGGTTTCCAAGAGCCCAAGCAGCCCCAGAGGTCGCAAGGCCGCTGGTAGGTCTGCCTATATATATGGCCACGTGTCACTCACAGGAGTGCCACTACTGTATGGCCGTGCGGGGCTGGCTGCTGGAGCGCTATGGAGACCCTGAAAAGTGTCATACCCAAGGAGACAATTCTTCCTGCCCTGCTTAACCCACAGGGTTTGTTGAGATGATCAAATAAAATTATAATAGTGATAGCAAAGCTTACCTGGAGGGTATCCCTGGCTCCCATTGTGCTTTGCAAACATCAACTCACTGGGGAGGGAGGGGGACACTAATCACTTTGACATTAGTGTAAAGAATGAATTTCCCTAAAATTATCATCATAGACCCTGTGTTCTTGTAAAATTAAAGAGTACGATATTCTGTATGATTTATTTATTTTGCAAATGTGGATGAACTTTGTCACCCAGCTCATCGTAATAGGACCACATGGGTTAATTAAGGGGTCGCATCATGACCGCTCAAACATTCTAATTCCACAGAATAGCTCAGACTTTGAAAATGGTATTTCATGTGGTTCCACTACAACAAATGTAATGTGAGTTTATGAAGTAATTTTAGAACAGCAAATCACGTCTACGTCTCTGAGCGGTCTGCAAACTTTGTTCTTCCTTAACAGGATTTCTAAGGAATACACACACACACACACAGTGTCATTAGCTTCTACCTTCAGACACAGTAAGAGATAGTCAAGCTGTTCATCTCCAGGACTGTGAAACATACTTCCCCATATCAGATTCCTGTTCGGAATGGTTCCTTAAAGGTCCTCTGTGATATAAGGATAGAGATAGTTTGTCCCCTAAAGAAACCAGGCGCGGCTCAAACTCTGAGATGAGTACACGCGGTCTTTACATCCTGTAGTGTCCTTTGCACTAACACGGGGTGTGAGCGCCTGCCTACTCAGCGATCATTTGCATGGATATTTCACCCATACCCATTTCTTTTTCCATTACTTGTCCACATTACCAAAATCTGATATAAAATGCAATCTTCGAAGAACATAAATGTTTTTAGCGTCAAAGAATTTAGAACATTTTTTACTGTTGAGAATCATAATTTTAATATGTTCAAAGTTGCACAACAAGTTAATTTATTAGAGTAACATTGACTTTGGGGTAGGCGGTTATAGAGGACTGACCTTCAGGGGATGAGCACAGTCTGGTGACTATGTCCCTGTTTTATGTGAAATTTAACAGCTGCTCTTGGAATGCCTGTCTTGACTTTTCCACAGTAAGCTCTGCCGTGGCAGGTACCAGCGTTAGCACACTGCTAATCACATCATAGGTATTCAATGGGTGTTTCTTGCATGAAAAATATTAACTCTAAGACAGATTGTTAAAAAATAGTAGATAAGAAGGTCGTGACTCCCTAATAGCTTCATAAAGCAGATCTTTCTCTCCAAAGAGTTGCTGCTTTGTAAATTATACTAAGAGTGTAAATTACGCTAAATTTCTGCTCCATTTGACTTTGGTTCAATCAAGACATGTCGGGTCATTATTTCAGAATCCTGTCAATGTGAAACCTGGCTGACTTGTGGGATATTCAAGCCCAAAAGAGCTTCAAAGGGATTTTCTGGAAGAATATCCTACTGGCAAAGTGGGTCTAATCCATCCTGAACCTTTTCAAAAATTTCCTGGTGGCCCATTGTGTCCTTTTGAGTCTGTGAACCAATTTTACCCACCCGTTCTTAGAGGGCAACCCAATGTCTGTGTTCTCCATCTGCCCAGACTTCACTCGGGAAATGCCTGCAAGCCCAGTGCTCTAGGCCATTTCTTACCTTCTGGCTGGGCTGGAATCCACTGATGGCTGATCCACTCACTTCCGTCCAACTATACTGTGTCAACAGCAAAGGGTTGGTTCCTAGAACTTCTTGCAAAGTTACATTTCCCTTTTGATTAACTCACCACAATCCTTTTAAACCAAAAATACATTTGGCCTCCCTAGTGTGGAGGCTATAGGGCTATAATTTTTATCTTTCTTAAATCTTCTCACTTCCTGGTCTCTTCCATACAAAAACTGCCCCCTTGGAACCTCAAAAATGGGCCTGAAGGTCATATATCAGCACTTCTACCCACCACTGGGTTTGAATTATGTCAGCAACCAGGGGGCCACAGGACCAGGGCATTTATTCCAAACTTTTGCCCACCTTTTGCCTCCAATACCTGGTCCTGGAAAGACGAGTTCTGAATCTCTCTGTACCTGGACGTCTTCAATCATACAGTGGAATCAAAATACCTGGTCCCTCCTAAGGAGAAGGAGATCCTAGGTGCTAAAGTGCTTTGAGCTACTCAAAGGAAAAGTGCATACCACGAACCTTTATTGTCTTAGAGAGTGAGACCAGGTCAGGAGGGTCCATAGTCTAGTAATCATTCTACCGCTTTGAACACTGTGAGAGATTTCCCCTTCATCTTCCTCACCTTAGTGGAAAGAACCCTTTGTGATGTGACATCATTCATGGAGTGTCATGAGATACAAAACTATCACAAAATGACCGTCAACCAGAGCCACACTTAACTTTGCTGATTGTCCAGACAAGTGAGCCAGTCACTGCTCAGGAGCTGATGTACAATAGAATAGACCTAGTAACAAAATAACATAACCGAATTCAGAATAAAATTCCATCTCTTGGAGCATATTCCATGGGCCTTCTCTGCTCCTGCTTTTGCTGGTATCTGGCCTTCTGGTAGAAAACAATGATGACCACAGTGATAATACTTAGAAGAATGACAAGCAGCGTTAGCCAAAATGAGTAACCATAGCTGTGGGTCGTTCCTCCGTAGGCAGCTGCTGGATACGGCTGGTACAGCGTCTGGGCCAGGTCTTCCGAGAGATGGTTGGATTGTGTGTTCCCCACAAACAGTATCATGCTCATGAAAATGAAGAAGGCTGGAAAGAAGATTCAGTCTCATAAATGATATGGTGATACCTTTTTAAATGTCACTTTCTTTCTTAATGAAACCTGTGCTCTGTGGGCATGTATGGAATATGCATACGGGGAGGGAGGCGCTTACAGTCTTCTAGGTATTGGAATGTAAAGGAAGTGTAAGCCCTGAGCTAGATTCTAGGCATGAACCGCTGAAGACGGAGGGCATCGTCCGGCCAAGAGTGAAAATATGGTTCAAGTTCTTTCCGAAGGGCCTGTTGCGGACCTCTCCCTTGGCTGGTGCAGGCAGAGATGTATGGAATGAACTGGAGAATGAGCAGACAGGAGGGTCAAGCTTTCTAGAGAGGACTGGATGGATGGCAACGACTCGAAGGACAGAGCATTGCAACAGAAGAGGCAGCCTACACGAAGACACACAGGGGCCAGGGAGCCCGGAGCCCCTGGGACCTTGAGACAGGACCCGGCCCATGGGCAGCTGCTCTGAGGGTCCTGAACACTGACTAGAGAGGAGGAGACCACCCCAGAGAGCCTCAGACACTGGCTCAGAGCCTGGGCTTTCATTCTGTTCGCAGTGGAGTATGGCGTTTAACCAGGAAGGGTCTCCTGGCTAAACTCGTGTGAGAAGAGAACTTGTTAATGGTCTTCTCTTCCCTTTTTTATTCTTCACAACGTCCTGCCCTGGAGAGTGTGTCTTGGTAGTGACTTTGGATGGCCGCCTTGGCCCAGTTGGAGAGCAGGGTTCTGGAGTCAGAGAGAGCCAGGTTCCAAGGCTCCAGCCACGAAACCCTGGGTGATTTGTGTGCGCCTCTGGACCTCATTCTTCACCTTCCAAAGGGGATCAGCCTGACCAAGGCAAAGGGTAGATTCGTGGTTGGTTGGAATGGGGCTGGGCTGGGAGTGGGGACGTGGCAGAGGCCAGAGGGTGCGGGGTGCTCTCTGAGCTGATGGAATGTTCCAAGACAGATGGAGGGGACGGTTGCCCATCTCTGAGAATATTTACCCACAACTAGACAGATGTTCTGGGGTCAACGTGTCCTGGCCGTAGCCCACACCCAGAAACTTTTCCCAGTCCTCCAAAGGCCCTGACTCGAGGGCTTTTGTGTGAGGAGAACGCTTGGACTGTCCTTGATGATGGACTTTCACGCTCAGCGTGATGGTTTTACTTCTCAATAATTTGGACATACAAGAGCCCCCTCCTCTGAAGCTCTATGCGTCTCACACTCCCTAATTATCCTTCATTATGCCCTTGTGAAATTTCTTATAAAAGCTTAGTCACAAAGAGGCAGGGTGAACACAGGGTCACACACTTTTCTCTGCAGTGGGACGGGCTCGGCTTTGATTTGAATCGGGAAGGGGCCGCTGCTGACTTGTGCAGACCTGAGCCCCGGCAGGAAGAAGCTGCCGCTCCCTGTCTGCGTCCCCGGCTCTCTGGGGCAGGGGATTTGCAGAGGGGTAAAGGGGGCCCCGTGGTAGCAGGGGGAGCTCCAGGCCTGGCCTGTCCCCACCAGGCCATGTGACCTGCCCCATCACTTTCTGCTCTCCGGGCTCCTGGGCCGAGGATCAAACAATCTGCAAAGTTCTGTCAGGCCCCGACATTCTCTCAGTCCACGGTTGTATCCCCTGTGGACAGGGCCGGGCCACGCCAGGCCGCTGTGGGGCGAAGGGCAGGCTGGGGTCAGAGGGCACAGGAACCTGGGAGGTTGTGATGCTGCTGTGTTTTCCTCCAAGCAGAATCTGCTCCTGTTCCTTCCGAGCCACAAACCAGGCTAGGAAGCCCAGGTCCTCTTCCCTGCAGCCAAGGGGAGTTTGTTCAAATCTAGCCTCAGTGGGGATTTGCGGCACTTCCCTCTGGCTCAAGAGACCCTAGAGCCAGCCTGACCACGGGGACCAAGTCTCCTGCCAAGATGACCCAAAGCAAGGATATGTCAAAGGCATCTTTGTGCATAAAAGCCTTCTGCGGGCCGAGACTCACCTAGAGTTCCCACTACGTTCTGCACACTCGAAGCTCATGTGAAGAAGATTGGGAGGCCCCAGAGGCAAGCTCGGGGCCAAAGTCTGGCTTCCCAGAGCACTGGGATCAAGAAGGTAGGAGGGGCATTCAGAGGAGGCTGGACGTGAAGCCACAAAGATGTCCCTGTGACCCCTGCCGGAATGCAGACCTCCTCCTTACACATCCACGTCTCGGGTTGCTTCTCTGCCCACCTGACAGCCCCTTCTGTGTGTTAGAACTTGCCCCAAGCCGGGAAAGGAATGCCGCAGGAGCTCTCTCCCTGTCAGAGGAGTCTTTGTTGTGAGAAGTAGGCGGGGATTGAGGGGAAGGCCTCGGGTCCTGTGTTTTTCATGTTTTCCTCCACAAACACGCATCGGCTTCTGCCAGGTGCAAAGTCAGCTTATCCTCGACCGTGGAGACAAAGAGCTGGAAACTCCAGCCTTGCAGAAACAGGCTTTATGAAGCAACGGCCTTTGAGCCCCGTGGGCTGTAGCGTGGTGATGTGGTCCCCGTCTTGTCCCTGGGGCCCCACATCCAAACCTCCTTTGGAACTGGCACCTGATTTTCCCCTTGGAGCTGCCCCCAGCCCCAGCTCCAAGGGATCAGGTGTCCCAGCCATTGGGTGGGTCAGCCAGTGAGTTCAACCCCATTGGTGGCCATGGAGATTGCTCCAGGGGTGGGGAAGGAAAATTTCAGGGAGAGTCAGATTTGGGGGAAAAGAGGTCCTTTCTCCTGGGGTTGCTGGCAGCCATCCTGCCTCTAAGGGGACCAGCTCGCTGCTTAACACCAGAGAGAGCATTGGGAAAATCAAGAGACAAGCACCAAAGGGAATCAGAGTTCTGACGGCATGGTTCCGGCTGGCAGTCATCCTGGGCATTCACAGTGGCTGCCAAGCCTCGAGAAGCCCCAGTGAGAGCCACACATACTGTGACCGAAGCTGGGATCTGCTTCCCATCTGCGCTGCACCCCTACCGCAACGTTGACAATACACAAAGTAACCTAGCCACACCCTACAGAATCACCGTGAGCTCACAGGTCACCCACAAGAAGGGTGTTGACCCCAGAGTCTCTAAATGACCTTTGTGGTCCTCTGTGGGACAGTCATACAGATGTGTCATGTCTGGATTTTAGCCCACACTGACTGTTATTTGGAGGTGAGGAGAGTAAATAAGTGTGTGTACGTGTGTGTATGTGTGAATGTGTGTATATATGTGTATATGTGCATGTGTACATGTGTGCATGTTTGTGTGTGTACATAAATGTGTGCATGCATGTGCACACACACCTGTGTGCATGTGTATGTGTGTATGTGTGTGTGTACTTCCATACGTTATATGGAACCTAATTTGGAGTTAAGCACATAGCAGTAGTATAGTTGTCAACAGTGACTGTTTTGTCCATTTAGGAGCATTGTGTTTAACTCCTTACATTCGGTGCTCAATAGCAAAGACTGGCTTATGTTACGTATTTCAACAGCTAACACCCTGTCCGCATGTCAGGTACGTCCTCTCTCTCTACCAGGGCATCTGAAACAATTTTATTTCCAAGATGCTTCATAAATTCTGTAGGTTTACAGATATAAACCCCGGGCCCCAGCACACAACTTGGCACATACTAGGTCTGCCTAGTTTCCACGGCTCCCCTGGGATCGTGTGTGTTCTTGCGTGGGACAGAGCACCGGAGAGACAGAGACACAGAGGTCGTGCTTGTCAGCAGAGCGCCCGGTGTCCCCGGGGATACTCACCACCAAGTCCGCTCCCGGTGTACACGCCCACTGGCCCCAAACACGTCTGATAGGGGTTGCTGATGCTGTTGTAGAAGGTGAGCCCAGAGCTGAGCAGCAAAGTGCACAGGCTGAGGACCAGGAACAGGATAACCACCAAATGCAGCGTTCTTTGGGAAGAATTGTTCAATTTCTCTAAAACTAAAACAGTGGGTGGTAAGCACGTAGCACAAAAAAGCAAACACCAGCCCTAGACCCGAGGGCTATGCCACCCGCACCCTGGCAGTCCCCCGCACTCTCTCCTCTCGGGCACTGGGGGTAGGAATTGCAGGAGGCACCTCTCAGGTGTGCGCCAACAGGAAGGGGTGGCGCCTCGGGATCCTCATTCCCCGCTTGCATGTGTGCAACCACAGGACTTCGGATAACTGGCTATCCAGCCCAATTTTAATTTCCCCGAGAAAAGACGGTGCCCTCCTTGATAAGCTGCGGCAGGGCTGGACACCCCTCCTCAGGGCATTCCGGCCTCAGATGCCTGACAGCCGGCGTCACCTCCTTATGGATGGTGTTCTCTTGCTCAGAGCACTACTACGCTTCCGCTTGGGGACACTTACTGAAAACCTGTGACTGAGAGGATCTGGTACACCCAGAGATTTCGGAGGTGAGCCCATTACACAGAAGGCCAGGAGTGGGGGGCTGATGGAGGTGACCAGGGAGCTGGGAGGCAAAGATGGCCTTGGGGACAAGCAGAAGACTGCTGTGGGTACAACCGAATTGTCGGCCACACTTCCCGACGTCACTTCCCTGGAGCTAGAGAGGACCCAGTGCCCCTGTGGCTTAAATGCAAAAGGTGACCCCTGGGTAAGCCATCAGAATTCTTCCCAAGCTCAGTTCCTCTGAGCTCACACAACATTTTATAAAATGTGCATTTTTCTTAAGTGCAAAGGAGCTCCAGGCATGGATATGCATTCGTGCCAAATGAAACACAGATGCCCTGGGCCGTTAGCCACGAGTTCCTGCTTTTGCCATCCTCCTGTTTCTAACCACAACCAGCCACCGTCCCTATGAATGTTTCCCCTGTTCGCTCCTTTGTTTACAACACAAAATGGCCAGACCCCAGAGGCATGCTGTCCCCACACTTACCTGTAACCCCAGCCATGCATTTATAAAACATCCCCAAAGGCTGCGGGTGTGTTTTAGGGCCTTAGGTGATTGCCACCACATTAAATAAAGTGTTTACCAGGATGTTCTGTGAAAGCCACAATGATATAGAGAAAAAGTAATCCGGGGAAAAGATTTCAGAGTTCATCGTAAGATGCCAACAAAGTCATTGGGAATTGTGAGGTGTAAGAACCGTGATGGGCGGGGGAGGTCTGGTGAGAGAAAGTAAAAACTTTCTTCTTTCCATTCCTGTTTCCCAGGCCTCTGGGAGAGAGTGGGGGGCCACCCCCAGCCTTGTCACATAGCAGCTTTAAAGAACAGAAACCAGAAAAGCCAGGAAAGATATCGTTTGAGGGCTTGGGGGCTCCTTATCTCGCTCTCTGAACCAGAGTGCTCCAAAAAACGGGGTCCCTGAGAACTGGAGGGGCCCCAGGACGCGGTGTGTGCCAGGGAAGGAGCAGCCAAGCCTGCTCCTGACATGTGTCCTGGCAGCAAGGGGCTCGCTCTTTGCAAGGTGGTCCCTTCCATGCCGTGTCGCCTTCATTATTTAAAAGCTCTTCACGGGTGTCGTAGGGAAGTGATGAATCACTGAGTTCTATTCCAGAAACCGACATTGCTCTGTATGTTAACTAAAATTTAGACTTAAAAAAAAAAATGACAACGCACAAATAAATAAATAAATAAAAGCTCTTCATTGTGTTGGGCCCAAACATGCGTCTCTATGACTTTTGCCCAGAGTCCTTCTGCTTCCTCTGGGACAACGCAGAATCTACTCGCTCCTCTCTGTCTGGCAGCCTCCGTCGTCAGTGAAGAAAGACAAACCCCAATGTGATTAACAGCCCACATCTCCAGAATGTTCTTTGTAAGGCGTGACTCCAAAGCTCCTGCCCGCCTGGCTCCTGCTCTGCACACACTTGACTCTGACTCCAAAGCCCCACAACACGTCTGCCAGAGAGCCCCCCCCCCCCCCACTCAGAGCGCGTACACCTGCACCCGGTCTCTCCTCTCTCCAGTTCTGAGCATCTAGATTGTTAATTCTGATGTTTATGTTTAATCGGTAGTACTCTGGGAAGGAGGCAGGTTTTCTGCCACTGGACAGTGCGCAAGGAGAGACTACAGAAACCAAACCGGTGGAAAGAGGAGCGGAGTTGGAGACCTGTAGGCGCCCCGAGCAGGCGCGGCCACGCATCCCTGGGAACCCCCTGGGCGAACACAGAGGCCGGAAGTGGGGAGCTATCAGCCCAGCAATATGGACCCGATGACGTCACCGCCCTTGGCCCGAGAACATTTTGCTCCTCGGTGAGAGGCGGGCCTGGAGCAAAGTTCAGCTCACACAGACCCAGCGGTGACTGGACGGTTTCACAACCTCTGCTAATGACCCCCAGGCTAGGCCAAGTCCTCAGCAGAGCCCTCTGTGGGATCCACCCGGCGGAAGAACTGTAATGACATAGGTTAAATAAAACACGTGGCCCTGCCTGCCACCACCTACGGCCTGCGGGGGGTGATGGCTGGGGTCCCATGGGCCACCTGCCCTCTGAGGAACCGCGTGGGCTGGGCTCTTCCGAAGGCCCTGAGCTCAGGCTGAGACTCTCGCTGCAGAGATGCCGGGGTGGGGGGACTCTCATGGGTCTAAGGCAGCGCACACCTGTCTTGAAACGAGTGGATGATGACACGAGAGTAGGACTAGGGCAAAACGGGAAGTGAGATGCACCTGTTCGAAGCTGCAGGGTCGAATGCTGGGAAGTTTCCAGCGCTCACCATGAGGAAGAACTGCTTCCCATCCCAATCACCCTGCTCCTCCCAGGCCACAAGGAGGAAGCCTGAAGCTCTAATCAGAAATTTGCTGGGGACTAAATAAACTCTGTGTTTGGCCAATAAGAAATAATTTGGATACTTAACTAAAAAATAGACATTTCAGTGTGGGGGAGAATGTCATCTCTGGCGTGCCCTGGAAAGTATTTCTGCTTTATACACTTACTGAAAGCTGTAAATGGATGTTCATTTGCAAATGGTGAATGTTCCACTTTTTCAGAGTAAACTAGAAAGTGACAATTAGGTTAGGCTTTGTTTTTGACTGTTGCTAAGATTTAACAGACACGATTTTTCAAAGGGCATCAATTTGGAGCCTACTGACTCATACTTTTCTTTGTATTAATGGGACAATTTATCTTAATTTTAACTGCCGTCTTTTAAAATTCTATTTCGGCATCTGAATTTCCTGCCACACAGGTATGACAGTTATATCTCTCAGCCCCCTCCTGGCTCAGAACTCAGACAATGAAAGCTGGAAATTCAGGGAAAGTTGGCAAGAATGAAATAGAATAACCACCTCCAGCATCTGACAGCTTCTCTTGGCCTACAAAATTAGCAAATACATTCCGTTCTTTCCTCTTCTTTTTCAGGGCCAAGCGTTGGAATTGGGAAAACCACCTCACAATTGGAACTAATTGCCCGGATTCTGGCAACCTCAGGACAGAGCCATCGCTCCCACAGCTGGGAGGCAGAAAATGTGCTGGGGGCAGTGGGCAGTGTACAGAAATGGGTCATCTGGACATCGGGCTTTCTGTGCATGGAGATTTAACCCTTCAGGAGCCCCTTGCCATAGGGTCTTCCTGGCTCTGGTTTCCCATCAGTCCTCAGACCTTGAGGGAGAGCCTGTGGCTTTGTGGGTGGGCAGGAACTGCCCGCACCCTCTCCTCGGACACCCGGTCATCAGGGAGCCTTACCCGGTAGATTCCTCAACCCAGGGACCACAGTATACCCCTGATAAGCTGAGCCTTTGAGGTCTTCCAAGAAGTTGCAGCCGTCATGCCCAGCCTCTGGGAAATTTATCTGGGTTCTCTCATGGAGAAGGAGGGGGAGCGCATTTTCTGCCCTGTTAAACTCCATCACCCAACATGGCCATGTCTCTGGGGACAAATAGTAAGTTGCTTCTCCTCGGAAAAGTATAAGTATATGGGGGGGTGGGGTTGGTGAGTAGAAGTACTAAGGAAGAAATAAGCCTCATTGGTTTGTCTCCTTGCAATTAATTGATTTTTGCAGCAGATTTACTGTTCTAATTATTTTTAAGCTTGGGCCAATAAGTGCAATTTTGAGTCCCCTGAGAACAAACGGGGTAGGCGGAGAAAAGAGACCTGGGGGGGCGGGCAGATTGGGTGCAACTTCCTCTCGCTGTCAGAGTGACCTGCTCTGCCTGAGTTAACTGACAGGGGCCTTTCTCTAGAGAGAAGCTATGGCGAGTTCACCAAGCCCAGGAGCCATGCGCAGTGCCTCTCGGTGTGTCCCATCCCCTCCCTCATGGAGCAGCTGCCCAGGGAAGTGTTTTGGACTGAAATTCAATATCCAGAACTTTTGGAGTAGCAAAAGCAAAGTGCTTACTGGTAGACACAAGGACTGTAACTTTTCATCTGGATATTGGACAAACCGAGAGGCCACCCGATGAAGCTAGTAGATCTCCTGTTGGGCTGAGTTGGCCACATAATCTAGTCACGTATTGGACAGTTTCCTTGCCAGGCTCGACGGATTATCTTCCCCATCAGTAGACCTATTGGTGGCTGGATTCTTTTGGCATGCTGAAATCAGCCATTGTCACTTTGTACTGTGTTGTCATCTCAAAATCTACAGCCCAGATTGGCACAATGTGATAAGTCCTAGGCAGAAATATAGGCGAGCTTTGCAATATTCACTCCTCTTTGGAGATTTTCAATGCGACCTCATCCTGGGCAAGAAGCTGATAATGTTAACATCTTAAATGGAAAAGTTGATGCATCACTGCTGGGGAAGGAAGTGGCATTTATACAGATTTTATTTTGCTGCCAGCGGTTGGTTTCTGATTTGAGATGAGCCCCATGTGGTCCCGAGAAACCAGCTGGGCAGCAGCTATACTCAGTCTCCAGTTCTGCTCTCAAGGGAAAACATCCTGGGGTCTGCAGCAGCTGAACGCCATGATATACGTTCTAGTTATAGGACTTTCCCGTATCTTAGAGAGCCATTTACAAATGTTCCAAGTCCAGTGATCGTTAAAACCCTCAGCAGTGAACAACCCCTAGGCTCCGGGGAGCCCTCAGCGGACATCAGCCAGAGCAATTGTGCTGCACCCTCCCTGACTGGGGGGCCGCTGCTCTTCTACAGCACCTGGACGCTGGGCAGTGACTTGAGAAAGCTGACCATAGCTCTGCGGTTACAAAGAATAAAATGCAAATGCAAATAGTGTGCCTCCTTCGTGCTGCCATATGGTGCCATGGTGCCCACTTGGCCCTGTGCCCTCAGGGTTGATCTAGACTATGCCTCTCTCTGCGATCTCCACACCATGCCACTCACCTCCCTCACACAGGGCTTTAGAGTCAGGCTCGGACCTGCCCTGGCCTCCCCGAGCTTTCCTGATACAGGCCATCAGGGCTCTCACTGAAGCCCTGTCTCTCAGATGGGAACCAACTGGTTCCAAACAGACAGCATGAAAATCAAAAAATTCACCGGCTGTTATCTCATATTTAAAAATTTTTCAGGGTGTCTGGAGGCTCAGGAACTGGTACACATTCTGGTTTTGAAAATGCTATTCACATACTGAATGTGTGACTGCATGTTTGAAAGTCTTAGTTTCGGGTTGCTGCAGAGGGAATATTCCTCGCTTTCCTGAGATGCTGAGGCTGGTACTGGAGGAGGCATGTAACATTACTGGACCACTGGAAAAGACACTGCTTTTGCTAATGTCTAAGAGGCAAATTTCATAACTTGGAGATAGAACTACGTTGTTCAGTGTTTAAGGTTCAAACTCAAACTAAATACTACATTTGTATGAGGTGGAAAATGACACACATTTCTAAGTCAGCAGGGAATGACTGAGTCACGGCTGATAATGCCTGTCTACCTGCATGCAACACTGCTTGATGCAGAGTCCAGCCCAGGTGCTAAATAATTTACAAATGTTGCTTTTAGGGGCACCTGGGTGGCTCAGTCAGTTAAGCATCTGCCTTCTCCTCAGGTCATGATCTTGGAGTCCTGGGATTAAGCCCCGCATTGGGCTCCCTGCTTGGCAAGGAATCTGCTTCTCCCTTTGCCCCTCATCCAACTCATGCTGTCTTTCTCTCTCTCTCTCTCTCTCTCTCAAATAAATAAATAAAATCTTGAAAAAAATGAATAAAAATCTGCAGTCGATACAACTAAAAATGCTGTTCCTACTATCCTATGTTGGATACCATATTCCTGCTAGACATACTTACTTAATTATTTACTTGTCAGTAAACTTGCTTCAACAGAGCCTCCGCCAGAATTATTTAGACTGTGGTGCTAACAGACACAACCAGAACCGAGGAAGCTGAAATAATAATGTGGGTGAATTTTCAAAATTAAAAATATATGTTCATATCTACAAGCCATCTCAGAGCTTACAAGGAAAAATTTTTGTACAGTTATTTGGCCCAAAGAGAGGATGACATGAGTCTTACCCAGTTAATGCAATCTCGCTATACCCATTCAAATTAATTTCTCATTTACCTCCAAAGTCCTTCTTTGATTCCTCAAGTCCATGACTGAATTCCTGACGGCTGTTACCACGGAAGAGTCCATAGACGATAACAAGACTACCGTTTGAAGAAGAGTCACTGATGGCAATTATGCTGCTGACCCATTCTTGGGTCCCAAGCATAGAGCAGACGACGATGAACGCCCCAAAGCTTGTGAAAAAGCTCGATAAGAACATCAGTGTTTTCTTTGTCGTTGGCATCTTCTCAGGAAAGTAGGGGTCCTGTGGTTAACAAAGAAAGCAACGATTTTTTGTACTATGTTTGGACCTTATCATCTGGACTCCAGTATTTAGAAAAGGAGTCCGAATGAAAGGTTCTTGTAAAATATAAAAGCTAGCTCTTCAAGGGACAAAATGCCCCAAGGAACATTGGACTATGAGTGTGGTCATAAAGATTTACAGCGGCTGAACTTTGGTCTGGAGTTAGAGGTCGCCATGGTGACCGCCAACCAGCAGAAACAAGGGGCAGGCACGGTATTCCTAAGGACTTCCTCCATCACACGATTAATTTATAACTCTTCGTCACGTGCCCTCGAAGCAAGTTCAGCCTACCATGTCAGGACTAGAATCCCTAACACATGAGGGCCTGTCCTCCCACAATGTTGTTCTAGCAGCCAACAGCATAGACTTGCTTTACCTGTTAAGGACGAGACCCTAACAGCAGTCCAAAAAGGAACACTAAGAAGATTAAGGGTTTGCTGAAGACACTTTGAAATGAAAAGAGCAAAGTTGAAAACCTCCTTACTTTTAGATCTTACTAAGGAGGTGTACCTTTCAAATTTCCTCCTCCAAAGTAGATCATATTTGCACATTATTTAAATTATAACTTGAGAGGGTACATCTTTATTTGTCCTTAGTGTTCTGATGGAAATGGTTCTGAACATTCTTGCATTAGGTCTTTATGCCGCCTCTCCTTCCTCCCTGTTGAGTGGCTAATGGTTTACAAATGATCCTTTCTGCCTGTCTCTCAGAGACACTCCTCCATTTGGCAAGCACATCACTTCTGAAGATAGTAAATAGATGTTCACAACATGTTTATATTCCTCTTTTTATCGTATTCTTTGATATAAAGTAATAGCGCATATGCACATTTGTGTCTTGTACTTTTCTTTTTTTAAAATTTTATTTATTTATTTGAGAGAGAGAGAATGAGAGATAGCACGAGAGGGAAGAGGGTCAGAAGGAGAAGCAGACTCCCTGCTGAGCAGGGAGCCCGTTGTCCGACTCGATCCCAGGACTCCAGGATCATGACCCGAGCCGAAGGCAGTCGCTTAACCAGCTGAGCCACCCAGGCGCCCCTGTCCTGTACTTTTCTTGAATAGCACCTAACTTATGTTTGGTGGAATGAGTCGGTCATCTGTCTTTCCCATTAGAAGAACTAGACTATGGGCTTCAGGAGGTGGGACATGTTTGTTTTGCTGACCACTAAACCCCAGGGTCTGTCAAAGAGCAGACACTCAGCAAATATTTGTTAAACAAGTTATTGGAGACATACGAACAAATACTCCACTATTGAGGATATGTGTGCTTTTTTGATTTTTAATTCATGATTAAAAAAAAACATGCATGTGGGCGCCTGGGTGGCTCAGTTGGTTAAGCAACTGCCTTCGGCTCAGGTCATGATCCTGGAGTCGCAGGATCGAGTCCCGCATCGGGCTCCCTGCTCAGCAGGGAGTCTGCTTCTCCCTCTGACCCTCTTCCCTCGCGTGCTCTCTATCTCTCATTCTCTCTCTCTCAAATAAATAAATAAATAAATAATCTTTAAAAAAAAAACATGCATGAATATCCTTCTACATAACCCTTGTCCATATCTCTGGGTATTTCCTGGCTTAGATTTCTGGAAGTGAGTCAAAGCATGTGAACTTTTGTTGATGCCCTTGCTACACCTTGCTCAGCTGCTCTTTAGAAAAATTCTTACCTATCTGACCACCCAACTTTACGCAGTGGAATGGGCGTGCTTTACTCTATCTTCACAACATTGTATATTATTGGGAAAACTGATTTTTTTCCAAGTAAGTATTTTGACTACATTTTTAAGAAGTTATTTCAGTAGTTATTCCTTTGAGCCCATTTTCTTTCTTTCTTTCTTTCTTTCTTTTTTAAGATTTTATTTATTTGTCAGAGAGAGAGAGAGCAGGGGGGTAGTGGCAGGCAGAAGGAGAAACAGGCTCCTGCTGGGCAAGGAGCCTGATGCGGGGCTTGATCCCAGGACCCTGGGATCATGACCTGAGCGGAAGGCAGATGCTTAACTGGGCCACCCAGGCGTCCCTGAGCCCGTTTTCCAGAGTGAAAGAATTTTATATCATGATAGGAAGATGAGATATGCTCATTACAAAAAATATATCAAATAGAACTAACGAAAATAAAGATGAAAGCAAATACAATTAAAAATTCACCCTAGAAGAAGTAATTCTGTTCATACCTGGGCAGAGACTTTTATCCCCACGTCTTTATGTCTATGCCTACATTCATATTAAAACCAAGTTCTACTTTATGTTCAACTCTAAAATGCGCTATCACAAATCTCCACAATTTGTCATGGGACAATTCACCCGATTGATCAGTTTTGCCATTGTGCCAAGTAATCATAATTTACTTAGACATATCTTTTTGGGGGACATTTTAGTTGTTTCCACTTTTTCACTGCTGCACCCATGGTGTGTGATGATGCCTCTTCTATGTTCAATTTGGTAAGCCTTTCCAGGTGTCTCTTTGCGATGAATGCTTACACACAGAACTGTTGAGTCAACAAGTGCGTGCAGACCAGCAGAAAGTTTGGACCAGTTTAAACACCGGCCAACAGCACTTTGTGCAGAAAGCTTATTTTCCCACAACCCCATCACCACACACTATTACTAATCCTTTTCACCTTTCACAAGCTGGGAGAGGAGAAGTAGATTGTTGGTATGATTGCTAAAAAAGGAGCATTGAGGGTTTACTTATATTCATATTTTTATTGTCCATTGGTATTTTTGTTTGCATAAGTTTCTGTTGACAGTGTTGGTTCATTTATTATATAGAGATGCTCTTTTATATATGATTGTACAGTAAGAGTATTAACCTGGGTCAGCTCCACATGAGATATATAAATTTAACAAATATATATGTATAAGTCTATATATTCATTTTGTGGTTTGTATTTCACATACTGATAGGGGTTTTGTTTTTTTACATCTTTGTGGATGTTTTGCTGCCTACAGTTAAAAAGGTCTTTGTAGTCAGTCAAATATTTCAGTCTTATACATTGTGCTTCCTGGATTTGGTATCTCAACTCTAAAGTCATAAGGCTGTCTACACATTCAAGCCAGCTCCAGCTTGCTTTAAAATGGAAAAGTGACGTACTCCATAAGGGTACATTGTTATTTCACAGTCCCTGAGGGGAGGGTGACAATGAGGACTCTGGGTGTCACCTGAATTAATGATTTCCATTTTCTCTGCTCTTTTCTACATATATTCCATTCTTTTCGGTTTATTTTTTTAACATTAAAAGTCATTTCTGTCAGTATTGAATTTCTGTTGTTACATTTATTTTGCTTTTCTCTTTCTAAATTTTCTGAAATAAATATTTTATTTCCTTAATTATTTTGTTGTGGGATTAATAATGAAAATATTTAAAACTGAATTTTCCTTTCAGTAGAGGACTTTGGCCAAGTCCCACGGGTTTTATGTAGAGTCTCTTGTAAATTGACATGTAACATCTTAATATTGTATTTTTTTCTTCCTTATTGAAGAATAAGTTTGTAAAATAATTTTATGATATTATTTTTATTTTTTATTTATTTTTACTTTTCTGTAACTTTGATAAGAGAAGGTAGTCTCACAATATCTACTCTTTGATTTTATTGATATTTTCTGTGCAAGTCAATTTATAAGCCACTTTTATAAAGGTTTATAACATTTGATGTCACTTGATGCCATTCCATTTTATGGATTTACCCTCATTCATTTAACGATGTTCTATTTTGGATGTTTGAAGTATTGTTATTTTTTTTGCCCATTTAAATTTGTCTGATTACAGATTGTTAATTATAGCCTCAGGATAAATTCCTGGAGAAGAACTGCTGGTTCAGATAAACATTTTTGGATTTTTTATACCAGATGCAAATTGGCCTTCAGATTGGTCTCCAGTTCATAATCCTGTCAGCAATGCATGGGAAAGCTCTCCTGTCTGTAGTCCTAGAAAAGGCTGACTATTAAGGTTTTAAATGGTGGTCATTCTTATAGGAAATATTGCATTGCTTATACATTTTACCTATGCAATAATTCTGTGATCTACTTTTCTGGATCACTACAGTTTTGCCTCTTCTAAAATTTCATAGAAATGATAAATTCCAGTATGCAATCTTTTGTATCTGGCTTGCTTTGAGATTCATCCGAATACCCACAAATTTGTTATCCATTTAGCCATTGGTGCACACTTGGGTAGATTCAAGTTATCAACTATTGTGAATAATGCTATTATGAAAATTTATGTACATGTCTTTGTGTGGATATTTTCTTTCCTTTCTCTTGGATAGATACAAAGAAAGAAACTACTGGGGCATATGGTCAATGCATTTAACTTTAGAAGAAGCTGACGGAATATTTTCCAAAGGGGTGGTGCTAACGTGCATTCCCACGAGCGATGAGCATGGTGGTTCCAGTTGCTCCATATCTTCTCCAACACCTGCTGTTATCAGTCCCTTATAATTGGGCATTATAATGAGTGCTTAGTAGTGTCTCACTCTGGTTTTGATTTGCATTTTACTAATATGAATAACTGAGCATTTTTTATGTGCTTATTTGCCACCTCTATACTTTCTTTGGTGAAGTATCCATTTAAATCTTTTGCCCATTTTCTTAACTTGGTTCATCTTCTTGTTGAGTTCTATGGGTTCTTTCCTTTGTGTTTTCTGCATGTAAGTCCTTTATTAGAAACATGCTTTGTAACTGTTTTCCCCCAGTCTCTGGCTTATCATTCCATTTTCTTAACACTATTCTTTGGAGAGAAGAATTTTAAAATTTTGGTGAAGTTATATTTACCGATTTTTCTATTTTATGAATTGTGATTCAAATGAGATATTTAGAAAATAGTTTTCTAGCCCAAGATTGCAAAGATTTTTTTTTCTTCGATGTTTTCTTCCAGAAGTTTTATCATTTTAGCTCTTACATTTATGGTTATTGCATATTTTGAGTTACTTTTTGTATATAGTATGAAGTAAGGTTTAAAGCTCCTCCTTATACATGTGGATGTGCAACTGTTCAAGTGTGATGTCATGAAAGCTTATTTCCTAATGAATTCCCTTGGCATTTTTGTTCAAAATCAGATGACCTCATTTGTGTGGGTCTCTTTCTGGATTCTATGTTACAAGACCTTTCTTCCCAGCTCTGTATAAGCTTCAGGAAGTGTTGGTCACACTGTTTTCCAGTGGGTCTTTTGCTGGCCCCAGATAGCTTCCTCCTACAG